GGCCCTCTTAGGGTGCGCCAGGGCCGTCTTGGAGGCCACTGTGGGCGTCTAGGAGGCCGTCAGTGGGCCCTCTTGGGGCCGTCTTTGGGGCCTCTTGGGCCGTTCTGGGGCCATCTTGGAGGCCTCTTGGGCGCTCTGGGGGCGATTTTGGGGGCCTCTTGGGCCGTCTTAGGCCGTCGGAAGGCCGAAGGAGCAAATACGACAATCCTTCAAAAGCCTAGGGAAAATCAATGATTTTCACCTGGAGCCCTCTTGGGAGATCTTTGGGGTCTTCTTGGTGACTTCGTTGGCGGACTTTGACGCATCCTGGGCCCTCTTGGGCCGTCTTGGAGGCCATCTTGGACCATCTCAGGCGGACTTGGAGGCCATCTTGGGCCATCTTGGCCGTCTTGGAGGCACCTTGGAGTCCATTTACCGGCCAGTTTGGGTGTGAAAGGCATTAACATGTGCAGTTTGCGGTCCCTTCTGGGTGGCCGGCGGGCTGGGCCGGAGCCCCAGGGGATAGTTCTATTGGAACAAGAGGCCCCCAAGACGGCCCAGGAGGCCTCCAAGACGCCCAAGATGGCCTCTAAGACGGCCCTGGAGCATTCCAAGAGGGCCCCAGCCCGAGACGGCCCAAGTGCCCCCAAAGATCGCCCAAGAGGCCCAAGACGGCCCCAAGAGGCTCCCAAGACGGCCGAAGAGGCCTTCAAGACGCTCAAGACGGCCTCCAAGACGGCCCAAGAGCCTTCCAAGACGTCCTCCAAGAAGGCCCGAAAGGGTCCAAATGGCCTCCAGGCGGCCAAGATGACCTTCAAGATGCCCACGTGTTCCCCAAGGCTTTCCAAACCGATTCGGGGAACACATGGTCCGATAGCTTGGCAGGTCTGACCTCAACGTTCGGCCACATAGGCGCTTCCACAAAGGCAGGGGGCGGCGGTGATTCGCCGTAGGCGTCTTCCATAGTTCTATTGGAAAAAGAACCGAAGCCAAAACCGAAAGGGTCAAGCACGCCGGGAACCCATGTGGCAAGCCAACAGGGTGCGGCGGATCCTCCTGGCCTTCGGCCCATCTCGCCACCGTGCCTGGGTTGTGGGTCTGAGGCCTCTTGTATATGTGTTGGGGTGTAATGGGGAGCCTCTCGGGGGCCTCTTGGAGGAGGTTTGGGCGCCTCTTGGGGGCCTCTTGGGGCCTCGTGGGGTATCTTTTCTTGGAGGCCTCTTGAGCGCGTCTTGGGCGCCTCTTGGGCTCTTGACGGCCTCTTGGGGCCTCCTGGGGGCTTCTGTTCGGTTCGTGGGCCCCTCTTGGGGCCGTCTTGGGGCTGTCTTGGGGCCCTCTTGGGCCGTCTTGAAAGCTTCTTGGGCCATCTTGGAGCCCTCTTGGGCCGTCTTGGGGCCCTCCTGCAGGCGTCTTGGGCTTTTTTTGGGCGGTCTTGGGAGCTTCTTGAGCCGTCTTGGAGCGTCGGAAAGCCGAAACTGCGAGAAGGCCAACATTCTTCAAAAACCTATCACAATCTACAGTGCCATTTTGGCATCTTGGAGCTGTCTCGGGAGGCCTCCTGCAGCGCCCTTCGGGCCTCTTTGGGCCCTCTTGGGCCGTCTTGGAACCATCATCGGGCGCCTTGCAGCACTCGTGGCCTCGGCAATGCGAATATGGCGTAATGTGCGAGGCATTGTTCATGTTGTTGTTGTTGTTGAACATTATTACTTCTAAAGAATAATTATTGTTGGGGCCCCTGGTGCGCGACCCCCCCGCCGCGCCTAGGCCGCAGCCTCATTTTCATCATTTGCGTGAGGAAGTCTCAGGCAAAACGGGTTGGTCCGGATCCGGTTGTGTTGTTACGATCGGTTTTCCCTTGCAAAAAATAAGATAAAGTGGACATTTCTTGTTCTAACATAACCAAACTTCAAGAATCCCTTGCAAAACATAAGGTAAAGTGGACATTCGCGCGCGCAAGACGAAATCCTTCCAAAACCTTAGTTTCGTAGCGATTTTAACATAAAAACATCAAAAAACCAATGGTTTTTCAAAAAAAAAAGTGTCAAAATTTCATCCCGCGCGCTCTTGCGGATTCGTAGGAAACCCAACACTTTTTAAACATTTCTGTCAAACGGGCTTTTGCGAGCAACTTTTTCGAACTTCTGCAACAACGGTTGCGCACCTGCCAGGGCCATCATCCCTGTCAAATAATACCATGCGGGACACATTCGTTTTTTCTTCGCGCGCGCACGCCGTCGTCGTCGGCCGCGGGGCCCTGAATAGTAGCCACGGTCGTCCGCATGCCACGAAGTGAAGTGTCCGAACGTCATAGGGCGGGAAGCTGGGTGTGGGTGGTGGCGAAGAGTCGTTTGGAAATTTGGTAGAGCTTGAACCGGCCCCCCCACAAAGTGGGGGTATTGCCCGCCTCCTATGAAAACCCTGGCACTGGTGAGAACGGTGTGTCCCCACGTGCTAGTAATTGTTGTTGTTGTTGTTGTTGTTGTTGTTGTTGTTGTTGTTGTTGTTGTTGCTGTTGTTGGTGTTGTTGTTGTTGTTGTTGCTGTTGTTGTTGTTGTTGTTGATGGTGGTGGTGTTGTTGTTGTTGTAGTTGTTGTTGGTGTTGGTGTTGTTGTTGTCGTTGTTGTTGTTGGTGGTGGTGGTGTTGTGGTTGTTGTTATTGTTGTTGTTGTTTTGCTGTTGTTGTTGCTGCTGTTGTCGTTGGTGTTGTTGTTGTTGGTGTTGTTGTTGTTCTTGTTGTTGTCGTCGTCGTCGTCGTTGTTGCCATTACCATCGTCATCGTCAGTGTCGTCGTCCTCCTCGTCATTGTCGTCGTCGTCACCGTCGTCGTCATCGTCATCGTCGTCGCCATCATCGCCGTCGTCGTCGCTGGCGTCATCGTCGTCGTCGTCGTCATCGTAGATGCGCCAGCGAGAGGTGCCCCTTTTCTGAACTCGCGCGTAAAGTAAACTTCACCTGACATGGGGGAGCGCGAGTGGGGAGTGATTGCGGGTCTGGAGACGGATGATGCCGAGATGCACCAGCGGGGGGTGCGCCTCGTCTGAACTCGCGCGGGAAGTAAACTCGACCTGGCATAGGGGAACGCGAGGGGGGAGGTCGGGGGTCTGGAGACGGATATTGCCGAGATGTTCCAGCGGGGGGTGCGCCTCCTCTGAACTCGCGCGTAAAGTAAACTTCACCTGACATGGGGGAGCGCGAGTGGGGAGGTTGGGGGTCTGGACACGGATGATGCCGAGATGCGCCAGCGGGGGGTGTGCCTCGTCTGAACTCGCGCGGGAAGTAAGGTCGACCTGACATATTGGGAACGCGAGGGGGGAGGTTGGGGGCCTGGACGCAGATCATGCCGAGATGTGCCATCGGGGGGTGCGCTTCGTCGGAATCCGCGCGGACAGCAAACTCGACACGGGGTACGCCAGTGGGGAGGCTGGGGGTCTGGAGACGGGTAGTGCCGAGATGCGCCAGTGGGAGGCGCGCCTCGACTAAACTCGCGCGGACAGTAAACTCGGCCTGACATATGGGGAGCGCGAGTGGAGATATAGGGGGGGGGTCTGGGGACGGATCATGCCGAGATGCGCCAGTGGGAGGTGCGCCTCTTTTGAACTCGCGTGGAACGTACATTCGACCTGGCATAGGGGAACTCGAGTGGGGAGATGGGGTCTGGAGATGGATCATGCCGAGATGCGATAGCATTGTATCGTGATGGTGATGCACGTTCTTGCAAAGCTCGTCGCTTTCACGCTCTTCCCGTTCATGTTACGAAATGTTCCTCAACATAACGATTTCGCTTGAGACGTCCTCACGCATTGAGATCTTCGCGACATCGCGTTTAACAAAAGCAAGCGTTTCGCTAGAGACGCCCTCGGAAAGCTGGCCGTCGCGAAATGTACAATTCTGCCGAGCTTGGTGGTTCGCCTGGGACATCCTAACCATAATGAGATGTCGACGGAGGTGTGCTACTGCCTCTTATGTTTAAAGCTACGATTTTCGCTAGGGACATCTTCAGCACATGATCGGCAGCACGGCGGGCAAGAAAAAAGAGCACGGCAGCCAATTAGCATTTCGATGGGAACATCCTTAAGCAAATGCGGTGTTCTCAACATCGTCTTGACATTGCTCTTAAAGTGCTTCAAGATGAAGAACGGAGAGCCCAATCAGGACCCAAACTTGGTTCCAAGCGCCTCCTGAAGACTGCCGAAACTTACGATTTCGCTAGGGGCATCCTCAACACATGAAACATACAAATCATCGGTTTGAAAACTGCTGTTCGATCATCGTCTTGGAATCGCTCCTAGAAAGGTTTCCAGACGGCCCAAGCCAGCCTTTAAACAATGACGATTTCGCTAGGGACATCCTCAAACACGAGATGCGTGTGACATCGCACTGGCATCATCTTTTAAGGCATCGGGACGTCCCCAAACGAGCCCCACACAAGGCCCAAAATGACCCCACGAGCGCCCTCGATATTCTTCCAAATGCGCATTTCGCTTGAGACATCCTCAGAACAATTAGTGATTCGCAACATCGTCTTTTACAAAGCACGCGTTTCGCCTCAGACATCCACCAGAAAATGGAAGCCGCGAATTTCACACACCTATGCAACCGGGGCTATCGCCTGAGACATCCTCAGAACAATGAAATCTTGATTCATTTTGAAACTGAACTTTTCCCGTGAGACCTCTTCAGAACATTGGCAGGACCATCACGGACCAACACACAGAAGCACGGCAGAACGCGCGGGAGCACGGCTGAACATACAGGAACACGGCAGAACACACATGAGCACGGCGGATCACACAGATCACACGGGAGCGCGGCAGAACACAAAAGCACGGCAGAACATACAGGAACACGGCAGAACACAAAGGAGAGCAAGGAGCACGGCAGAACACACAGAACAACAGGAGCAAGGCACGGCAGGAGCACGGCAGAGCACAGATCACACAGGAAAACGGCAGAACCCGCAGAAGCACGGCAGACACGCACAGAACACACAGGATCACGGCAGAACGCACAGGAGCATTTGTAGCCATTTTGGCTCAAGGTCAGGCTGGCTCAAGGCTCCACGCGGGGTCCCCTGAGCTCGGCATGGTGGCTGCGGGAGAGCCCCTCCGAGGGGTAGCCGGTGCGCGCGCGTCCGCCGACCGGCTCATTTTCAAACTGAAGAACAGGCTGGAGGCCGCTGACCGCAAGGCTCTCGCCTTCGAGTCTGCGCTGCTGCACCTCTTCGGCGACGCGGAGGTTGCGGAGAGGGTCGCCTGTATTCTTCCTGCCCTCACGTCCCTCCTCGCGGGCGAGCGGCCCGAGGCGCTGGACATCCTTCGGCGCAACGTGGCGCTCCACTCCGAGGGGCCCTGCGGCGTGTCTCTGGTCTCAGCTGGCCATGCCGAGCTGCGCAAGGCCCAGAAGCACGCGCGCAGGCTCGAGGCGAGGAGGGCGGACACCCAGCCCGCGGCTCACGTGCTGTTGCAGGGCTCCCCGCCCCTCGAGGCCGAGAGCGGGCTCCGTCGTGACGCGGCCCCTTTCGTCCCGAGCTCGGGCTGCTGGGTGCCGCTGGACGGCTGCGGCCGCCTCTGTACGTGCGGCGCGACGTGCTACTCGTCGCGCTCCCCGCTGCCGCTCTCTGGTGAGGAGGTGTTCGAGGATCACGGCGACGAGGACTCTCCGTGTGGCGAGGCGGCTGCTGCTGAGTTTCCGACCAGGGGCGTCCCCCCCGCCCTGGTCGACGGCTCCGAGGGGGTGAGTGGGGCCGCGGGCCCGCCGCAGGGCGCCGTGCCAGTTTCGCAGCTTGGCAGTGCGGCATCTCGTCGTGCCCCTGGCTGGTGGCTGGCGCGCGCGGCAGTCGCCAGAGTCTGGCTGGGGCCATCGCTGGACGAGGACGCCGTCCCCGAGGCTGCGGGCGGTGTGCTGCGGGTGCGGAGAATCCGCTTTGCAGATGCCCCGCGCGTTTTCGAGATTGGGAGCTGCTCGGGCATGCGTGGTATTCTTCGGCGGGGGAGCGCGCCAGGGTTTCTGGACCCCGCCTGGACGCGCCACGCAAAAGCCGTTGACCTCATGCACATGATCGAGGGCGACTCCTTCGGCCTCAGGATTCCTCCCACACGGAGGCCGCTGCATCATGGGGCGAGGTTCGCGGTCGGGCCTCGTCTGGTTGAAGCCCTTCCGCCTGGGATGTCTGATGAGCGTGCCAGAGAGATCGATCGCCTTATCGTATTGTGCGGAGGACTGTAGCTCAGTGAGTGAGTGGATTAGTGCAGCTGCGAGTCGTTTGGGAATTGGTGTCGTATCTATCCCTTTCGGTCCTGCACTTGGTGTGGTCTTGTGTAGTATATGCTCTTATCAGTGCTGCACTTGATGGTGTTCTTGTGTAGTATATACCAGGGGCTTCGCCTTCTGTCTGTGCTGCATGTGTCTGGGAGGGGGCCCAAGGTGGCCTCCTCTGCTTGCGTTCTGGCCACCGCTTGCCTTGAAGGCCCCGTCTCTAAACTTTAACTTTAACGCACAGGAGCACGGCAGAACGCACAGGAGCACGGCAGAACACACAGGAGCACGAGCTGCACGGACGCACATGCGGACGCGCAAACGCACGGACACCACGACAGAATTGCGCAGCGCATGCGAAGAACGTAGGATATCTCATGAGCCCAGGGCATGAAAAAGGACGCTTTCCGTTCTTGTCCGGTCAGGTGTTTTTCATCCTTCTTGTCTTCCCCCTCCTTCTACCCCTCCTGCTCCTCCTCCTCTTCCTCCTCCTCCTCCTCCTCCTCCTCCTCCTTCTCTTCCTCTTCCTCCTCCTCCACCTCGCCCTGCTCCACGGACTCCTCCTCTTCAGCCCGCGCCGCGTGCAGCCTGGGCAGCTGACTCTCTGAGTATCCTGCCAGCGGTGCTGTCCGAGCAATGTGCTCGTTCCTCTGCACGGGGGTGTTGTCCGCCAGTGTTTCGCCCTGGCTCTTGTGCTAGATGATTTGGCCGCCAGCAGCTTCTAGCAACAACTTGACCTCCTCCCCCTCTCCCGCCTCCTCCCCCTGCCATCGCCTCCACTTCCTCCCATTCCGTCCATAGATGAGGCGCGAGCGCATTTAGCTTGCCTTCCCCCAATATCCTTCTTCCTCCTCCTCCTCCTCCTCCTCCTCCTCCTCCACCCCCCCTCTCTTCCTCCTCCTCCTCCTCCTCCTCCTCCTCCTCCACCCCCCCTCTCTTCCTCGCCTCGCCTCTTTCGCCTCCAACCTCCTCCTCTTGCTCCTCCTCGTCCTCCTCATTTTCTCCGCCTCCTCCCCCTCCCCCCCCCCCCCCGCTTTTCCGCATCCGTCCTCTGCCCTCCGCCCTCTCGCGAGGTGCTCGTGCTCATGTCGCCCTGGGAGGCTCCCAGGCGCTCCCCCCCCCGCCGCGGCGGGCGGCGAGGTCGCTGTTCCCCTGCGATCGCGGCCAGGGCCCCAGACCTCGGCCTCATGTCGGCTGCGCGCCGAGGGGGGAGAAGCGAGAGTGGGCAGGCCTTACCCCAGGAAACAATCCGTACCTCCTCCCGCCCCCCCACTCCCACGAGAGGGACTCTCGAAGCTTTCGGCGCTGGGGGCGGAAGCGACCGCGAGCCAAGATCCTCTGGGCGAGCACCGAGCTGCCAGACTGGCCCCCAGGCCCAGACGGCGGGCGGCGACGAGGCGGCGGCGGGGCGGCGGCGGGGCGGCGACGGCGACAACATCGCCGCCTGACCGACCGTCAGGCCCAGACGACGGGCGGCGACGGGGCGGCGACGGCGATGACATAGTTTCCAGACCGACCGTCAGGCTCAGACGACGGGCGGCGACGAGGCGGCGGCGGGGCGGCGACGGCGACAACGTAGCCGCCAGACCAGCCGCCAGGCCGAGTTCCTTATACCAGAAGTAAAAAGCCCTAAGTGCAAACACTGTTTGGGGAACACACACACATATATGCATATATATATATAGATAGGTACCGATTGCTGGATATTGATGTCAGTCGATGTGCTGTGAGATCGGTAAATCGATAGCGAGGCCGACCCACACATTTGCACATACATTTTCTAATCTATACAATGGTCTAGTCATTCAGACATCGCCTTATAGGCATGTAGTGCCATCTGTATATCTGTAGTATGTTTATCGTACACACATCGACATACACATACATATTTATATCGAAGGTGAGGGGGTGAGATCGAAGTGGAACGGAGAGCCCCCGTACCGGGAAATCGGTTTCGGTTTCGTGTTCGTGCGTGCCGTGCGTGCGGGCGAGGCGAAGCTGCGTGGGCGGGCGAGAAGAAAGTCTCCTCCGGCTGAGGCGCGGCCGGACCAAATGTTTCCTTTCTGGGGACCAATGGGGCGCGGTGTCCCGCCGGTGTCCCGCCTCCGGCTGAGGCGCGGCCGGACCAAATGTTTCCTTTCCGGGGGCCGGTGGGGCGCGGTGTCCCGCCGGTGTCCCGCCGGTGTCCTGTCGGTGTCCCGATGATGATGATGATGATGATGATGATGATGATGATGATGATGATGATGATGATGATGATGATGATGATGATGATGATGATGATGATGATGATGATGCTGATGCTGATGCTGATGCTGATGCTGATGCTGATGATGATGATGATGATGATGTCGATGATGTTGGTGATGATGATGATGATGATGATGGTGGTGGTGGTGGTGGTGATGGTGGTGATGCTGATGGTGTCCCGATGATGATGATGTTGACGATGTTGCTGATGATGTTGATGGTGATGATGATGGCCATGGTGGTGATGATGGTGCCTCGATGATGATGATGTTGATGATGCTGATGTTGCTGATGATGATGGTGATGATGGTCCCGATGATGATGCTGATGATCCTGATGATGTTGATGATGATGGGATGATGAGATGATGATGATGCTGATGATGATGAAGATGATGATGATGGTGTCCCGATGATGATGGTGATGATGAGGTTGATGATGTTGCTGTTGAAGATGATGGTGATGATGATGATGGCGCCCCGATGATGATGATGTCGATGGTGATGACGATGATGGTGTCCCGATGATGAGGGTGTCCCGATGATGATGAGGATGATGATGAGGTGATGATGATGATGATTTTGATGATCTTGGCCCGATGATGATGCTGATGTTGATGATCATGATGGTGTCCCGATGGTGATGATGATGATGATGGTGACGATGATGATGGTGTCCCGATGGTGATGATGATGTTGGTGATGACGTTGCTGATGATGATGATGTCCCGATGATGATGATGATGATCTTGCTGATGTTGTTCATGATGATGATGATGATGATAATGAGATGATGATGATGGTGATGATGATGGTGGTGTTCCGATGCTTCTGATGATGATGGTGTCCCGCTGCTGATGATGTTGATGATGGTGACGATGATGGTGTCCCGATGATGGTGATGATGATGATGGTGGTGGTGATGTTGATGATGATGGCGATGAGGTGATGATGATAATGACGGTGCCCCGGTGATGATGATGATGATGATGGTGATGATGTTGATGACGGAGATGATGGTGTTGCTGATGATGATGACGTTGGTTGTGAGATCGATTGTGATATCGATAGTGAGATCGATGGTGAGACCGCATGTGAGATCGATAGGTGGATCGATCGTGAGATCGATTGTGAGATCGATAGTCAGATCGATTGTGAGATCGATCGGTTGATATTGATCGAGTGAGATCGATTGTGAGATCGATCGAGTGAGATCGATCGAGCGAGACCGATAGTGAGATCCATCGTGAGGTCGATAGTGGGACCGATCGAGTGAGACGTTGGTCCCCCCCCCCGAACTTCCTCATGACCCGAAGGGTGGTCGTATAGGTATGTGCATATATATATAGACATATACGTACACATCCTGATGCGTCCGATCGAATTGACTGGACTGATGGACAAGGTGTTCCTGGTGGGTGACGTCGTTGGTTCCCCCCTCAACCACCCGATCGGCTCTTGGCCATGGATTTAGGCATCTATGTATACGCAACTATGTTTACACATGTGCATACAAATCTTAGTGATAGAGCGAGTGAGCTAGCTAGTTAGTTGGCTAGAGAGGCGTTCATTAGTCCGTTCGTTAGTTAGACAGACCGTTGGCACAGCCTGTGATAGAGAGAGTTCGTTAGTTAGACAGGCCGTTTAAATGTTTGCCCGTGCGTCTGCGCAACGTGCATGACACGTACCCTGAAGCGTGCTCGCACATGGCGATCGGCAAATATATCCACTTATTCAGTTCGACATGCCCGTGCACATACGTGCACACCAACCGACATAGCACCATATGGCGTTTACACCCTGTCATGCTTGTACACCGCCAGTTAAACATGCACATGCATGTTTGATTGGCGTGCAGGCGCGCGTAAAGGATAGGCACCCTCTCCCTCTCCCTTTCCACTCGCCTTGGGCGCTGCTTCTTCAGTGAGGCCAGTCCACGCACCCTCCCCGCAGCCGTCCCTTGCTGACTCTCCTTTGGCCCTTGGGCCCCCTTCTGATGGGTGGGGGGGGGTGAGACCGAAGCGAAACGGGGAAATCGGTTTCGGCCCGTGTCGTGCACGCGTGTGGCCAAGGCGAAGCTGCGCGACGGCAAGATCCCGCCCTAGCTAGGCCCAGGCCGAGCCCACACAGCGTCGCGCTAAGTGGGACGTGCCCCGTCTTTCAGCAGTTGGCCAGCAGTTGTCCGATCCCTTGCTTCACCCGTGGTTGTCCCCTGGTTGTTTTGTATTGTTCTTCGGTTGTCCCATCTGTATGTATATATGTATACATATATGCATCGAATGGTTATATATATGTATATATATGTATATATATATAGATTGAAAATGAGATCGATCGACATATCATGCGGCCGATCCGTGTTGACACTTGTAGTTCGTGGGATCGATCGGTTGGAGGTTGGAAGGGGGGTGGGAGTCCGAAGTGTGGCCTTCGGTCGCAGGCCTTCCACTGGAACAGACTTCGCGCTATATCGCAGAGCTTCAACTCGGAAATTGGTTTCGCTTTCGATTTGTGTCGCGCGTGTGGGCGATGCTAAGCTGCGCGAGGGCGAGAGTGATCCTGCCGTCGTTAGGCCTAGATCGAACCCTCACACATCGCGCGAAGCTGGGGCGTAAACCGTGGTTGTCCCGCGGCTGTCCCGTGGTTGTCCTTTTGTTGTCCTGTGCTTTATCCGCGGTTGTCCAGTCGTTCTCCCGCGTCTGCCCCGTGGTTGTCCCGTGGTTGTCCCACGTATGTCCCGTGGTTGTCTTGTGGTTGTCCTGTGCTTGTCATGTGGTTGTCCAGCCGTTGACCCGCCGTTGTCTCTCGGTTGTCCCGATGGTTTGTCCTGATGGTTTGCACCGATGGTTTGTCCCGTGGTTGTCCTCACATTTGCTTTGTGGTTGTCCCATGGTTCTCACGTGATTGTCCCGTAGCTGTCCCGTGGTTTTCCCGTGGTTGTCCTGTGGCCATTTGGTTGTTCAGCGGTTGCCCTGACAGCTGAACCGTTTGTTATGTAGAATGCGAGGCCGATGTATAGACAGCGATATCGAGAGATCTACTGCGAGTGAAGCCGGTTGATGTATACTGACAGCGAGATCGATGGATAAGTTGTGAGGCTGGCAGATCGTGGGATTCGCATGTAGATTGACGGTGATGTTGGTAGATCGATGGTGGAGCCGATGGGCAGTTGGATCGGTGTCCCGCGGCTGTTCCGTGTT